GTCTTCCTCCTCGACTAGTACCGACCGTGGTCATGACCCGCCAGGTCAGCCCATATACAATACTTATTCATTAATAGTTCTTACATTACCGACTGTTCTTACCACACATACTTACAGCTAGGGATTGCCCAAGATGACGCCGAGAGCCGCCAATCGATGCTAAAATTCAATAATAACTTACTTCGGTACTCACCGCCACCGCTATGCCCTCTCGATTGTGACGGCAGAGTCCTGCCTCGTCACAGTTGAAACAATTGCAATTGAAATATTAATGAATTGGTTACGTTGTGACGAGAATATTCGAGCGATCGAGCTAGAGTCGACTAGACTCTCGTCGGTCGCTCTGTTTACGTTTCGGGGGTGACCGGCGGCAACGGTTGACTCTGCCCGTGCCCCGCTCGTACCGATTTCGGGGGGGGGGGGGGGGGGCTCGTTGGAATTCGGCCAGCGCGGTCCCTTCTTCCCTCATCCACGTTCAGCAGAGGAGGAACTTCGAGTCGAGAAGGGAAACTCGTGCCGGAGAAGTGCCTTTTTCTTTGACGTGCATCGACTCGCTCGCGGATGACCGTTTCAGCGTGTGCTGCGACCGAGAAGCGTGGTGCCTGCCCGACAACCGGAGGACCCCCCCCCCGGACTTGAATAAAGGGATTAATGTCAAAATAAGCGTAAGTTTCCTCCTTGTTCTCCCCCCCCCCCGGCCCCACCGAGACGCGACTACGCTCGAGTCCGCGAGACAAATCCGAACCCGGCCCCTCTGACCGGTGTTTTGTAGCCAGACGTGGCTCGGCCCTCGAGATCGACTTGGATTGGCGTCTCCGTAAGAACGTCTGGCACCCACCAATTTTCTGTCGACACGTGCGTCGCCGTGCGAGGCCCGCACCGTGCCGTTTCGCTTCGAGAAATCCTCCCCTGGGCGTCCGATACCTTGGCAACGCGGCTCCTGCCCCGACACCGCGTTACAAAGTTCGTTATATAAATATTTTGAAAACACTGGCCGTTGCATTTAGAGCATCGGTTTTCTACATTTCTTCAACGTGAAAAACAGTGGTTTTTAATTTCTTCTAACGTTTAACTTGTTTCGTTAGGTTGAGGCAATGATAGTGCGGCAATGAAATTTGGATGCATTTTCGTGGAAGTATATCTACAACCATTGCACGTGGTTTTTATTTCCAAATTATGTTCAATCGCGTTGGCTACCTCCTCACATTTTGAAACGAGGTTCGTTAAAAATTGTCCCACATCGTATTGCTTTTTCTCTATATAAATGTCTCCAATGTATTGCCGAAGACGGAACGAGCTAAGAGTTTTACTGCCTTCTATATAATTACGCAACATTGTTTTCGAAACTTGGCAGTTTTCGCTTTTTAAAATGTTTTGTTTAACTATCTTACAATGAAACAGACATTGAACAGCGGAATTTGCATAACACACCGAATCATTGTTGTGTAACCCAATAATATTACAAGTATCGAAAGGTTCCTCGTTCACTTGCTCTTGACATGTGGTAAAACCTTTTGGCATTGCCCATACTCGATCATGAATTTTCATTCCCCGTAATTTAACTACAGATGTCCTCGCGGTTGGTCCGCACGGCCGTCGCGGCAAGCGTCCTCGCGACACTGGCGGTAATTGTCTTTACGTTACTCGTGGTGTCGCGGGGGGGGGGGGGGGGGTGTGCTCGCGTCATTCGCGTCGCGCTCCAATCTGCACACCACTCGGGGTTGAAGGCCCCCTTCCCGTCCCGCAGAGGTCAAAGGGCGGCTCCGTCGAGTACTCCAGGAGGTCGAGGGCGTGATGCCGCGGGCGGGAGCCCGCGAGGCGGTGCACTAGGGCCCGTCGCGACGCGCGGGACCGCGGATCGGAGCGATGATCTGCGGAGCAGAGCGCGAGGTGCGTCACGCTGCGGGTATCTCGAGGCGCAAGCGGGCCGTGAAGCACGATCGCACCGAGAGTAAGGGTGAAGGTGGAGTGGACAAGGTTGGACAAGGCGCTGGTTTCGAGAAAAAAAGGGAACTGTATTTTCGGAATTCTGGGCCTCCAGCCGTGCGCGACCGACCGGGTACAGTCGACTACTTATCGGGTCGCGTAGGACCCGTATTTATACTCACAATGAGTACTGTTCGCAGTTCGTTCTTCCATTATTTAAGGGTGATTCTTTAAATAGAACTTTACGTCGAGTGTGGGGATTGGTGGTGTGTTCTGTTTTGGTGGTAAGATGGCTGCGTATCTAGCTAGATTGTCGGCTTCTTCGTTCCCTGCAATATTTTGGTGGGAGAGAATCCATACTGTCGGTATTGTTTTACCCTGTTTAGTGCTGTCTGAGCACGTTTTTTTTTGGATTTTTTGAATTTTGGGATCAGACGGCATGGGGTTCATCTGTAATTGTCTGGAATTATCAAGCTTATAAGAACGTGGCCTTGGACATTCGTCAAACGCCACGAGCCCATGAAATCGCCATAAAATTGAGAGGCCTCTTGCTGTTAGGCTCGTGAATAAACAGCGGCGACCTTGCGAAGGTCGCGCGCTCGCTATTCCTCGATGCTCTGGCTCCAAGAGCAAAACCGTCGAAAAAGCAGGCGAACGAAATGTCCAGATACGAACTCATCTACCGCGGTACCACGGGCAGCTCGTCGGGCACCTCTGAAGAGGCGCTAGTCGACCGTGCTATTTCCCCCTAGTGACCTTGCATGCGGGGGCGAGCTGTTGACGAACCAGAAGGCCGAGGTACGGCCGCCTGCAGGGCGCCCAGGTCTAACCAAGTAAGAGCCGAACAAGGAGGCAAGAGCTACAGGCATCGATCCTGGCTGCCACCGACGAGACGGGATGTGGATGTCCAGGGAGGCCTCTTCGCAACCAAGTTACAGCATATGGGGTGGAATGAAAAAGACTGGGAAAACAGGCGTTAATTGACGTCCAGGACTCACGACCTCCAGACCAAGAGCCTGACCACGCCTTCGCCGAAGTATCCGAGGCTTGTCGGATGATTTACCCCGGGTGAGTTGGGATCCCCCGGACGGGAAGATTTCAGCCGACACAAGGACCCAGGCGTGCGTAGGGCACACGCCACCGACACTCCGCCGCACGCACCGATTCTCCCGAAATCAGGACAAAGACGGAGTCTCCCGACCAATTAGCGGCGCAGATTAGGATTCGGTGGGGCCAGCCGAATTCCTACAAGGAGCAGCGCACGGAGAGCTCCGGCTTTCGCTGCTTTCGATCGCCGGACCAAGCGGACCGCATCTCCGAGCAGTTTTTGTTAACCTAGTGAATTATCTTGGTTGTCTCACGGAAGTTCAGTGGACTTCTAGAATTTCCTGACTCGACGAGGGACTACAGCCGAGGGGCCGACCAACGGTGGCGGAATTTTCTGCGTAAAGTGAGTGCCCCGCGCCCGTTTCGAGGAGCCTGTTTCGGTAGAGTCCGTTGGCAGAGTCCGAGTGCTTTCCGAGTTCGTTGGGCCCGAATAGTGTAGTACCGATGATCGGAAAGGCATCGCGTAGGTGATCCTCCAACTTTTCGCGCTGGCGATCTTTCAGTTTCCTCTGGTGGAGCCTTTTCTCTGGTGAGGGACGCCGGAAAAGAGCCAGGTTTTCGTATGGCTTTCCTGGAGGTCGTAGGGCTCCTCGAGCGAATGCGAAAGCGAACTCCTTTTGCTCTTTTGCGTGGTGTCCCGGAATTTTCTGTCACGCAGTTTTAGGTAAAAGCGCGTAGTATTGCTAGCGGTAAATTGTCTGGCTGCGGAAATTTAGTTTATTTTTCGCGCGGAGATCTGAGAACGTTTTCGGTCTTCAGCGGGATAGTTTTGCTGGTGCTTTAATTTAGTTTTTTCACCCGGACAGGTTTTGATGTCTAATTGACTTTTTCCCTTGAGGTCGGAGGCGGAAAAGCTGCGCGGCAACCACGCGATCTCCCACGTCCGCGACCATATTTTTCTCTTCGGGAGAACCCTATTGTCTTCCCTTTTGCGATAATTTTGTGTTAGTTTAGCCTTCAAATCGACTAGGGGTGGTTCCGCGTGACCAATTTCGAGGAGGATTTTCTTGAGCAACCTCGTGTCAGAATTAACAACACGCGTAGTTTTGCGATAATCGATTTCAAATCGTATTGTCTTCCCGATAATTTTGCGTTAGCGGTCGATTATCTTAGTCCAAATTTGAGTCAAATCATCTAGGGGCGTATCGCTGAGTAAGTAATTGTTAAGAATATCTGTCCGTGAAAGTGAGCACACCCTATTTTTCTTCGTGATTCATTTTGTAACTTAACAACACTTTGTCTGAGCCGATGGAATTTCGGCAATTGCATCTCGAGCGATTTTATGGAGAGGACTCCTCGCGCGAACCTATTTTCTCTGGGGCGGCCTTGCGTCGGACCCCGCCGCCTTCGCAGTAATTGTCTATTGTCCGCGATCAAAATTTGTCAAACTAGTTATTTTTCCTAGTTCTGTTTCGTATTACAATAAAATTGTAAATTTTCCTCACTCGAATGGCTTTTGTTCTATTATTGGCAAAATCTCCCGATTTTCCGGTTTCAGTACCCCGGTTCTTGTTTGAACTTTCCTTTCCTCGCAGTGTGGTCTTACACTCTCCGAACTTTGGCGCGTGCGCTCTGAGTTAGCCGGCCGCGCTATGACTATCGCCGAGGCGGGAAGACCGTTCGAGCCCATTATTTCACGTATTGTTTGTGGTCACTTGAGAGTTCGAGATTGTTGAGTTACGCGGGGTGTCTTTTGACTTCCGGGGAAGCCTAGCGCTCAGCTTTTGTCTATTTCCCGGTGGAATTTTTGGTAGAGTTGCTCAGACGGCTCCGCCGAAACAATCGGGCGAAGGTGAGATCGTCCGGGAACTGCGGGCCCGAAATCGGTCTCCTTTTTCCTAAATAGGAATCGCTTCGTCGCAGTGCATAGTATGCATACAAGAACAGTTCCAGTCCCAAGTATTTAATACGTAGTATAGTATGTTGTATACATTACGTACAAGAACGAATTCGGACACGGCCTTAGATTCCCGGGATCATTCTACATGTGTCTCAATGTAAACTACGGTGTATCGAGTCATATGTGTAAACTAAATCTAGGACAGTTTTGATTGGTCTTCAACCGTCTCACGTTGACCCGACGCACTCAGTGAAAAACAGGCTCCTCCAACACAATGGCACATCAGGTTGTCATATTAGAGTCACTACAAATAAAATAATGCCTCAAACACGAAATTAAATTTTTTAGCTTAACACTTTTCTCGATTGGCGAATTTGGAAATAAATGACGATCATGGGTATCGCAAAACCGATTAATAGGCTTCTGGTCGGTAAAGTGATAAGAATACTATCGTGAAACAAGTTGTTTATGTTAGTGCCGCATCAAGCGCCGTGGCATGTCATGCGAAAAAGTAGTCTGTGACTGGGGCGACGACGACGATGATAACAGAACAACGATTCTAAGAGTATTGGAAAACTTTAAGATCACGTAGGTATCAGTAATCGAAGCTGAGTAAAGTTTAAAAAATTCCTGTTATTTTTTTGAGCTGATCGGACATTAATTTCTTTTTGTATAGGAGTAAAATCATTATCCTTGGCGGTTAGAACTCTGTAGCGTCTGACTCAAGCTCAAGCGCACACAGTGCGTTTCTCTGAGTACTCAACGCTGTGAGTTTCTCGCTCAAAGATGCATTTGACTCAAAACTCTACCGAGTATTTTAAATTCATTTTTTTGAACGGTGGCGTAGTGGATTTGAATCATTTTAAATATCACGCGTATTATCCAAGCAATGGGTTTCTAAGGAACGTCGGAGTTCATAGCAATAGTCGTTCGATAAGAAGTTTTATTAAAAAAAAAAAGAAAACGGTTTAATCGTGAAATGTCAACTACGAAGCTGCGAATTTTAGTTGAGATTAACGTCAATAATAAATTACCAATTATACTTACTAGCATCTTTGTGAGGTACAGCTTCTCTCAAGAGGAAATATCTTAAACCAGGTGCAGTAAAAGTAGACGCAGCAATAATAGGTGATATTACATTTCCCTTAGATTTTGACATTTTTTCAGACTCAACTGTCCAATGAGAATGGCAAAGTATACTTGCCGGAGGCTCTAAACCTGCTGCTATTAGAAACGCTGGCCAGTAAACTCCATGAAACTTCAATATATCTTTCCCGATTACCTGCAATCCATACGTTGCTACAATTAACATGTACATCTATATATCTTTCATAATTGAATAAAAATAATAGGAAACGTGTAATGTGTACTATAATATAGGTGTAACAAATTCTAATGATTGCGTTCTTTTACACGGTATCTGTTGTTCGTATTTGGAAGGAAATAAAAATGTATTTGAAACGAATTATTAACTATAACGATCACTTTATGTCAACTATTGCATCCGGTTTCTAGGTTGATAATGTGAAATTTCTTGCTATAATCAAACTTACTTGTACACTAGGAGGCCAAAACCGTTGAAATTTATGATCTGGATAACCCACTGATGTTAAATAATTAACCAGAGCATCTAGCCAAACATAGATTGAATGAGATGCGTTTCCGGGAACTGGAATGCCCCATGGAACTCTCTCAGATGGTCTTGAAATACTTAGATCTTCTAAACATGCACCTTCTTCTATCCAACTTGACAAAATCTTGTAATATTTTAATGGCTGAACTGCTCGTTCTTAACAGGAAATTATAAAATGTGATTTTCGAAAACTACTTAACATTTCATATAAAAAATAAAATACCATTTTTTAACCAATGTTTGAGATCATCCTGGAACGAACTCAATGTAAATTTATAATTATCTTCTTCAGTCCATTGAACAGGATTTCCTGAAACCTTAGAGACCTTGATGATTTGACCATTTACTTGTTTTTCGATAATTTCTATGTCTGTCAAAAAGGCCTCATCAGATGTGCTGTACCAGCCTGAATACTTTCCTAGATAAATATAATTCTTTTCTTGCAATTTGTTCTACGAAAAATGAAATCATTTAAATTAACATTTCAACTGCAATATGTAAAGAAATATTCACTGAATTTTCCAAAACACTAATTACCCAAAAACTATGAACTGCCTCCTGATGACAAGGTTCGGTTGTTCTGATATAACGACTGTACTTAACATCGAAGGTATGACACATTTCTTTAAACTGTTGAGAGATTTTTGTACAGTATTCTGAAGTGTCTAATTTAGTTTTTTTTGCAGCTTGAAAAACTTTATTACCGTGTTCATCTGTTCCCGTACTTAAAAAAACGGAGTACCCTAACATTGAATAATATCTACTTACAGCATCAGCCAGAATGGCACTATAAGCATGTCCTATATGTGGTCCTATAAAATAAAATAAAATATTAAACTCAATTACACTTCAGACTTTAGACGTAACGTTTCAATTAGAAATTTTGTTACCTATAACATGTTAAAACTGAAGTTTTGATATTTTCATTAATAAGTTTTATACCTGCATTGACGTAGAAAATGGGGGTTGACACGTATTTAATTGTTGGAGCAACGTCGGAATAAGACCTAATAGATCCCACTCCTGCACGGACTCTTTGCTTTTGATTGAACAACTTTATCAATGGGGACATGCAACTATTTTGCATATTTATGACAAATATAGCTAAAAAGGAAGTCTAATTATTGAATAGAAATGAAAAGTAGTCTTTGTGCAATTTTTCACCTTTATTATCATATTTTACTTCTTATTCATGGATCTATGAGTTAATATTTTAACTATTAATTTCATCGGAATTTGTTGATTCAAGACAACATAACAACAAATATTGTTATACAATAAAAGGTAATATTTACAAATTAAGAACAATGATACACATATTTAGAATGCATCTCGTGCGTTGACATTTGAAGTCTTCGACATATTGAGAGAAATTGTTTCCAATTGTGCAATAAGGTCCATATGCTTAAATTCATCTGGTCTTTCACTAAATGTTTGAAGCAATTGTAGCCTTTGGTGGTCATCCATTGAATAATAGAGCTGCAATTCATTTGCCAAACACTGTGCCTCTTGTACATTTAAAGAATTGGCATCAAATTCACCTCGCACAAGAACAATATTTTTACTGTCTTTCAGTTCTGTGAAGTGAATCATTGTTAAGCATTCGGGAGCATTTTCCTTGTGCACTTGGTACCAAAGCAGTGGGGTCATGTGTACTTCTGTCCCACAGAATTGAGACATGATAAACTCATAACCATTCGCTCTTGGTAATGGTAACAGAAATGTAGAATATTTCTTCCCCCGGGTAAACATTTTATCAAACTGTTCAGCTGTCATTGTGCCTGAAATACAATCCTTTTTCTTGTGGTATTCTTGCCAGATTTCAATAATTTCTTCTCGGTTTTTATCCTGGATCATATCAACTTTCATTATATCATTGAGTTGAGCTTCCTGTTTTTGTACATCGAGTTGCAGTGCTTGTTTTGCATTAGATGGAGGGTGAAACTGACGTTCCTTAGCTCGCTTCTCTTTAAACAATAAGTACACAGAATGGCTATAAATACGGTTGAAATATACAATGCAATGCAATGCATTCTAACATTATTTGATTTACAATAAAATATTGTCTTATAGATTTAGTAAAGGATACACAGAATATTCCATTTTAAATGATTCATTAGAATATCTTAAGAGCCAAAGGATTAATCGAAAAAAAGTCTCATATAAAAGTTGCACGGTTTCACAGGGAAAATTCAAGAAGAAAGTATGAAGGAAAATATACAACTTACAATGGTGACGTTACAGCAACCAACACTTGTTTTTGTAATGGAATCCCATTTTTTTTAAGTTTCTCGTCTGAAAACCGACAACTTTTAGAAAGACTATTTCTCAACTAAATAAAAATTGTACACTATTTTATTGCAATTTTTCTAAGGTTAAAGAAATGAAGATTACTGTGATTAAAGAAATGAACTTTTCGTAACAACGTAATTAATTACATTACGTCTCACAAGGAAACATTCCCAAGTGCCCGCCCCCGATCTTATTGATTTTCATATATGTTGAAGAACACAAAAATCTAAGAGACGCGTGTTTCTTTATATCTGCAATGGTTCTCATTTAAGGGGTGAAACATCCCCCCAAAGTTTGGGGAAAATTCGATTTTTATAACAATTTTCGTAGAAGCAATGGAGGGATTTCGACGAAACTTGGTATAAACGTATTCCGTATAAGGACGGTGAAAACACAATATTGTCCAGCTATGCTACACCCCCCTAAGGGGGTGAACTACCCTTCAGGCGACATTTTTTTGTAATATCTAATAAACAAGCACTCCTACTTAAGTTCCACTTACGCGATGTGATTGCTCACAAAAAATGAAGAATCCGTGTTTTTTTATTTTTACCAATAAACATTTACACATCGGTTGTAATCAATGAATGTAGGTGGTATACGGGTATATTCCGAGTAGCTTTATTGGGTTATATCGTGACCAATTTTACCTTTTCACCAAGGAGATTGTATGACTAGTTGGAAACGGGTGATGACTGCGTTATCGGATCTGTTACGAAACTATTTTAGTCTCTTAAACTTTTTTTTAAATGTATTTATAAATAATTGCATGCTATGAAAACCAAGGACATTTTGAGGAATAAGCACGTTCACAAGATTTATGTACAATGAATTGGTCACGATATAATCCAATATAGCTAGTCGAAATATACCCGTATACCACCTACATTCATTGTTTACAACCGATGTATAAATGTTTATTGGAAAAAAGCAAAAAACACGTATTTCTTCATTTTTTGTGAGTAATCACATCGCGTAAATGGGACTTAAGTAGGAATGCTTGTTTAATAGATATTACAAAAAAATGTCGCTTAAAGGGTAGTTCACCTCCTTGGGGGGGTGTAGCATTGCTGGACAATATTGTGTTTTCACTGTCCTTATACAGAATACGTTTATACCAAGTTTCGTTGAAATCCCTCCATTGCTTCTACGAAAATTGTTATAAAAATCGAATTTTCCCCAAACTTTGGGGGGTTGTTTCACCCCTTAAATGTGGACGATTGCAGATATAAAAAACACGTGTCTCTTAGATTTTTGTGTTCTTCAACGTATATGAAAATCAATAAGATCGGGGGCGGACACTTGGGAATGTTTCCTTGTCAGAAGGATGATTCTGGACACGATGATGTCATTTTGAAAAATCATTTCGGTGAAAAACGTTTTTATTTGAATATGATAGTAATTAAGTCAGCAGCTTATCAAATGAGGACCAATCATATTGGATCCACTATTTTTTCAAATAAAAAATCAAGAGACTCAACCGAGTCTCGTGCCAAGTACTAGGTAAAACCAGATACAATGGTAATGTCGCGCGGCCAACCGAGAACTCTTCATCCCTGCCAACTTTGCCGCTATAGGCAAAGAATAGGCGGCCGAATGCGGCGGCTCGACGGTCGCGATTATTGTACTCGCAATATCTCTTCATATCTTGTTTAAGACAAATATGCAGTGGAAGAGTATGAATAAAAGAATGATAACGATTTCATTCATATCGATTTTAAGCGCCCTAAATCGGTTACCGTAAAAATATGATTTAATATTTACAAAGACTCAACATAGGACATGACGAATTTCAGTTCCGTTGTCATTTTTGCACCATCATCATGAATTTCTCCTGCCAGATGGCACCAGTACTGGCGCTGAAATGTATAGTTGATACGTGATTGGCAATGAATCAACATCGATGGAGTATCTATTTCTCATTAAAATTAGACTTCTAAGTACGTAATGCCAATGTATTCAACATTTTATAACAATTCCACAAATAACAGTTTGTTAAATATTTAGAAAAGGGATTATTAAGATAATATGAAAGTCGCTGAAAAATTTAATCGACGTTCATAAATTATAATTCATGTAGCCTTATTCGTGATAACACCATTTTGAATACTCAAGTAGTAACATAAGCTAACGCGCCACGATTTCGGAGGAGCCACCCGGAATCCTTTATGTAGCCGTGTACTAGAAGCTTCTGTCTTCTTCGCCTTCGATCACCGGACTCGAGGCATTAACTCGTCAGTTCCCTGAGTCGTACTTACGCGAAGTTTCGAGAGTATTTGGAGCCCACCACCGTTGCAGCCGATACCGACCAGGAGAACAAGGAGGAGGAGGAAGAGTCGACGAGCAGCGGAAGGCACTCAGCGGTAATGTAAATGCCCTTTTTCCCAAGTTCGGGGAGCCTTATTCGTTACCGGGGTGAACTAATTATCTGATTCTCTGTTCGGTTACCTGTAACTCGCGTATTTCTCTCTCATCGAATTTCTTGATTTTCTGAGATAGTATAATTTTTTGTGCTACGGGTTTAAAGCGGCTTTTGTTCGCGCCCGATTTTCAGCCTTCACTTTTCCTAGTGGACCTTAAGTCTTGTGCGGGCGAGTCCCTTTTTGTCACATAGACGACTGTTCCGCGTTTTCCGGGTGGAATCGTTTGTGCGACCACTTTCGAGTTTCGAGCAGACCGCGAGAGAGGTAGAATGTTCGGACTGCATGTGCCTCCTGTGAGGTCGTAGGGCCCCACAACCGCGGGTTTTTGCGTTTCAGGTTGTCAATTTTTCGCCATATTTTTCCGGTCTTTGATTTATTTATCAAACCTAACTTTCGGTGGCGAAGTTTAATGTAATTTTCTGTCGGAAGTTGTGATATAATTTTTTGCTGCGAATTTGGATATATTGTCGCGGATTTTTTATGTAACGTTGTCGCGAATTTTTTACCTAATTTTGTCAAGAATATTAGACTTAATTTTTGAAGGCAGATTTTGACGTAATTTCCGCTACCAATTTCACCACAATTTTCCGACACGGATAAAATTGTAAGTAACTTTGAGTCCCTTCCGAGTCTACTCTTTGAGGATGACCAGTGAACGAACCAAACGAACGAACCATCGTCGAACGACCGCCGTCGTCGTATTTCGATATTGCCAGCAACTAAAGTCGCAAATATAGGAATGCAGGTATTGGCAAAAGCCAAGGTTTTCCGTGTCCGAAAATGTTCTGTGCGCACATCTGGCGTGCACGTTTACTTTTTAGAACACGATGGTATCTTGGGAAAGACCTTTCTTTCCGAGTATTTTTTCCCTGCAAAAGCGAGGAGTGAAGTACTGAACGTCCAGGCGAACGCATCATTTCCCTAACGCCTTTCCCTTCTTTGTCAAAGTTCTAATAAATAATGTTATCACTTTTATCGTTAACCTCGCGTAGTCATTCCGAATCCCTACATCACCTCAACGTGGTGACTCCGACGTAAACGCGCGTCATCGCGGAATTAAAAAAAAAAAAAAGAAACGAGGTATTAGTTAGTGACGCGGAAGTGTTGCTACGCGACCCCACGTGCGGCTAGATACGCCATCGGAAGTGACTCGCAGTACACATGTGCTCCCCGCGAACAGTAACGAGACGTAAATTCAGCGAACTGATCGTAAAAGCCGCGAATTAATTTGCAAGAACAATGGTTGAGGCGAACGAGTCTCAATGCGTCCTCCCCGGTGGCGCGCTAGATCGAGTGGATATCCGCAACCGTTGTTACCCTAGGACTCCAAGATCTGGTTCGATCAGGTCGAACTATCACGACCCAGTTCACGATCGCACGGATAACGGCTGAAGCGACGAAGTTCAGCTGCATCATCATAGGCTACTGGACGCGAAATACGTGAAAGAGGTGCGAGAGCTCGTCCGCGCCTTTCACGTAGAACCATCGTACTAACGGCATGGAGTTGATACGTCGTCTGAGCGCGTTCCAGGAGCAGAAGGCTGCTGGAGCACGAGGAAATGGAGGACAGGCGACCGTTCTAGTTCTTGCGTCGTTTGCAAGAGCTGGCTGGAACGGCCGTCCCCGAATCACTGATACAGTCGCTATGGCTGGGGCGATTGCCCGCCTCCATGAAGCCGATCCTCGCTACGCAGCCCCGGATTGTCCTGGACGACTTAATCCAGTTGGCTGATACCGTCGCCGAGATGAACCCCGGGTGACAGGTAACAAAGACCCGAGCTCTCCCGACTAAGGCAGCCGAGACCCGAACCCGAACACGGAGCTAGCAGCGGTTCGAACAGCTGAACGCGGAGTTGGCGGGCCTGCAGGCCAGCATCGCCACCATGCAGCCGGCCTCTGCGTCTTTCCCCGAACGCGACTCCGCTGACCGCGCACGAAGACCGCGTACGAACTTTTCGCGGCAAATGACAGTGTGATCGCGACGTACGGTTTCATGACGTTTTCGCTGAACTTCGGATGACGCCGTGAGTTCACGTGGCAATTTGTGATGCCCGACGCCAATAAGCCGATTACAGACGCAGTCTTTCTGTCATACTATGGACTCCTGGTACATAACTGCAATAGGCGCCTCGTCGACGGCACCACCACGTTCACCACGCTAACCGTCGGCTACAAGACGATGCGATTTAGAGCCGTCTTAGGTACGTCGAGGTATCACGGTCTATTGTCGGGGTACCCGGAAATTACCCGACCGGTCGGAATTGACGTCCAACCCAAACATAACACTCTTCACCACATCCGCACGACGCCTGGCCCACCCATTTCGACCACGCCGCGACGATTGGCACCCTATAAGCTGCATCTGGCCGAGAAGTTCGAAACCATGTTCCTTGCGGGTATTGTCCGCCGATTGGAGAGTCGTTGGTCTTCGGCTCTTCACGCTGATGGCTGGTGCCAAAAAAGGGCGACGAATGGCAACTATGTGGGGATTACCGAGTGCTTAAGGGAGTCATCTCGTGTGAAGGCTCTTTTTTTTAACTTTTTTTCGGGAATTTTTTTTTGCGAACTAAATAAACATACAACTGCGAACTTTTCACCACGTATTTATTCATATTTTGAATATGCTATACAATTTTTTCAGCCCAAAATCGTCGCTTATTACTGAAGTACACGGCAACTTAGCCACTCATCTTTGGCATCTTGTTGAACATTTTCTCGAGAATTTTCGGGTTTTTCACTTCTTCAATATGAAAAAAACAAAAAAAAACGAAATGAATCAGAATTATTCTAGTTTGCAAACTGTCTACATGAGTACTGAATAAGTTATTTAAATATCAAACGAATTCGTTCGATAGATTTGAAGATATCGAGGTCACCAGTTTGAAGTATACAGTTTTCAGAGAAACGCGTTTAAAGGTTCAAATACGATTATCACCAATAAAATTCCGACTCACCCTTAATCTGCTATGCCTGGTGTATAAAGTGAACCTTCAGTTTCTCCAAAAAAATCCTGCAAAGCCGATTGTTGCTCCTTGGCATCAGGTCTCGCTCTTTTAGTGAAGTCGCTCGTGCGTCGTTCGGAATGACAGGTACGCGCTTCATTACGGCGATCGGCGTAAGCTTGAGTTATGCATGGCCAATTTGGCATCCTACTCTAACCAAAACTTTCAAAATGCCATTAAATCCTTCATTGAAGATAATAACGGCAAGAAAAGTTACTATGTCAACGATCCTTGTGCCAGAATGCAGGTTTTTAAGAGCGAAACTCCAGATCAATGAATTCAATGGTTCATTGTTATTTTGTGTATGTGCTTTTAAACATCTGGCCAACAGTTCATCTCGTGATAAATCTTCGTAGACTGGTTTGATGACTTCTTGCACTTGTGCAGTCAGAGGTGGCTTATCGTGGTGGAAATTAGTAAGTTCTCCTCTGGCTTCAGCCTTGCGCCATTTGCACCAGCTGGCTTCGCCTGCTGGACAATTTTGATATTGAGGATTTGCGTTTGTAGAACATTTGTGGTACAAAATTGTCCAAATTTCTTCCTTCATTTCTTCCATCGAGTTTGCGTGTCGATGAATGGCTAAACCGTAAAATTTAGAGAGCTCGTTAATGAGCTTATCAATAAGTTTTCCAGCCCCTCTTCCACCAATTCTCTTATTATTTTTCTTAACATTCCGGAGTCGCGTTCCCATTCTCTTCTCGATATGTCCTACACATTCTTTCTTCACTACTAAATGATTTTTTGAAGGGCCCAGGTAAGAAACCGAAGCGCAAGAGACGGAGTCCGATGCTCCGCCTCGCCGACTGACAAACACCTGACCTGTTCAACGCTGCAATTTTCGAACGACTTCGATTATCGGAAAATCACTTTACTCACATATTCTACACTATATTTGGATGCAATTTATGCAACAAAAAATTCTATTTTTTGAACCAATCACACGGGATGACCCCCTTAACGCGCCTACCGCCCCGGGTCGATACCTTGTACCACACATAGAGAATTTTTCTCACACGCTGAGTGGTAGGAAAATCTTCTCCGCGATCGATCTGGCCCAGGCTTATAATTAGATTCCCGTCGCATTGCAGGAAATTCCGAAGACGGCAATTACGACACCATTCTGCTTGTTAGAGTTTCCCTTTATGTCGTTCGGATTACGCAACGCAGCGCAAACGTTTCTGGGCTTCATAGACAAAACATTGCGAGGCCTGGACTTTTGCTACGCATATATCGACATCCTGGTTGCATAGACAAGCGAGAAAGAACACGACCGGCACCTGAAGGAACTCTTTGAGCGCCTGAAACAATACAGGGTGCTAATAACCACAGCAAAACGTAACTTCGGCGCGCCGGAGGTTAGGTTCCTCGGATATAGCGTGTCCGGCAACGAAACACGGCCGCTACCTGAGAAGGTCGTTGCCATCAATACCTTCCCTCACCCGGTCACCGTAAAACGATTATGACAATTCCTAGGTATGATTTTACAGGCGATTCATATCTAGGACATTGCACCTGTAGGCGCCGCTGAACGACCTGCTGCAAGACAAAGGGCACCTGTGCCTTGGACTGCTGTCGCCAAACAGGCATTGAGCAAGTGCAATGTGAGCCTAGCATGCGCCGTGCTGCTAGCGCACCCCGATCCAAACGCCAACCTCGTGCTGGTAATCGACGCGTCAGACTTCATCGTGGGAGCTGCCCTGCAGCAGGAGATCGGAAAAGATTGGCCTTCTCGAAGAAGCTCAGCTCGGCCAATCGGAAGTACGACACCTACGACCGCGAACTGCTAACCATGTACATGGCCGTCAAACATTTTCGGCACATGGTCGAAAGCCGGACATACGGGATCCTGACCGATCATAAACCGCTGACATTAGCTTTCCGACAAAAGTTGGACAAGTGTTCACCGCAACAATTTTGCCATCTTGACATTATAAGGTAGTTTACCACGAACATCCGGCACGTCGCAGGGAAGAACAACGTCGTGACCGACGCCTCGTCAATGATCGAGCAGGTCCCGAGCTCAATCGACTTCGAGGCACTGGCCCAAGCCCAAACGGAGGACGAGGACCTTCGGACGTACTTGCGTCCAGGAACTGCCTTCCAGCCCACGCAAGTGCAGCTCACAGGGATGGACGCAGACATCTACTGCGATATTCACCCCGATAGCCCGTCCATCCGTCATGGCAGCTTTCTACTGAACGACATTCAACTCGGTGCATCAGCTTTCGCACCCCGGAATCAGAACCACCGTCAAGTTCATGGCGCAGCGCTTCGGATGGCCCAACATGCGAACCGATTGCCGAAGCTTTGTTTGCAGTGCTAGCAGGCGCAGGCAGGGCGACACTCCTTATGGGAGGGGTGGAACGCGGAAGTTAGTTCACCAAGTCCAAGCAAAGACTGCGCTGGTGTTGTGACTTCTCACTCTAATAGAAAGAGAACAGCAGAGAAAAAAATATTCTAACTGTTACAGGTCAGTCGAGTGGCTAGCGAGGCTGGGGAAATTTTGCAGATTCCTCCGAGTGGTATACTGTTTGTAGAGAAATTAACTCGTACGCACGCGTAACCAGTTCATGATTTGAGAAATATGGAGAGAATAACCCGAGCGGCTAGGTCAACCTCTTTAGTGGGATCGATAGATTTGTGGTCCTCAGAGGGTGGTTGCAAAGTCGCAATCAGGACACAGAAGGGTTTTAAGGTTTCGTGAGAATCAAGACGACGTTTTATATTAAATGAAATAGTTCTATTTATGATGCAAGGGATACAATGTCCATGGGGGTAAGGTGTGCAAAAGATATACTGTGCTAAGCGGATCGTCGCGAGACGAGACTAGGACGTTGGAGGCCGCGCGTTAGAGGCTTGCGGAAGTGTAGCGATAAATGTTCGCGTATCAATTGCGGAATGCTGACACGAGATTCTTTGCTTGCGAGGTACGCTTTGCCTTACTCAGCAAGGGCAGCTAATGAGTTGCGATTTATACTGTGAGAAGTCAGAATTTGGTAGTCGTTACCGGAAGGTAAATGCCGAATTCTGTTGCGGGTTAGTAATTTGGAATAGGGTTCGAAATAGAGTGATAAAAGAGTGATAGAGTGGAAAATGCAATTAAGGAATGCAAATGTTTTACCTCAAAGACGATGATTCAATGACGAAGAGAAAAGGTTGGCTCTAACTTTATGGAAGTCACTTTCCCGTCGTTATAAAATAGTATGTACAATATTTCAATTGCCTTCCATTAGAACTTTGCAACATATGCTTCATTCATTTACCTTAGATACAAGACTAGATATATAAATTTATTAGATATATAAATCTTTTGATCTTACAGGCAATTAAAAAATCGATCAAAACGTTTAAAGATCCTTCTGATAACCTTGTTTCCTTAATTGGGTCGAGATGAAATTACAGGTACTCTTACAGTATGATTCGAAAACCGACAAGATTGTAGGTTTTGAAGACTGGGGTTCAAAGCGAACGTCAAGCTTTGCGGATCATGCTCTAATTTTTATGATTCGCGGTATTAAGCACAATTGGAAACTTCCCTCGAGTTTCAGTTTTTGTTCTGCTGAGACAAAAACTCCCGAGCTCATGTAGTTAATAAGGAGACATGTTCACGCCCTGAAAACTGTAGGACTGATAGTAGTTGCAACAATTTGTGATCGAGGATCATCAAATGTTGCAACTATAAAAGTGAAGTAAAACACATCGAGGAACTTGATCGACGTCGATAAAGAAGATTTTCCTAAATACCTGCGTTGCCGACGTTCGTTTTTATATTGACAGCTGTGTCAAATTATATTGAGTAATGTCCCAAATGGCATACTCTACCTGTCGTTTTCGTACAATAATTATAAAGAAATCGAAGTAAAACTCCAGAAATCCTCTGGATTCATGCTTTCTGGGGCCCTAATTGACTGCAGAGGGACCCCCTGCGCCATTTGTGCTTTCCAGGTCAATTAAATTTACACTCCGAGACCTCGTATTACCATCGTTTTAGCATAGAAACGCATACAACACTTTTTTTGCCTTTATCCCGTTCAAATGCGAATTTATCGATTACCAGAGTGTTATAAATTGTCGTAAAATTGTCCTGACCCTTTCGATTCTCATATCAGAGCCTTCGATAATTGTATATTGATCGAAATATGAGAGCTCGACGCCATTTTGGTTCAGGTCTGGGTTGAATTAAAAAATTTGTTTAAAAAATTCACATTTTGAATGTGTCAGGACAATTCTTAGATGATCGGGAGTGACGTATCAAAGTTTTGGACAGTTTGGTCTAATGCCCTTAAAAAAAAGTGTTATATTCGAATCGACTGATTTGAAGGGGGTTTCACTTCACCTTAAATGTCTGAAGGAAGCTACAAAAAGATTTATTCTCAAAAGTAGACGAGAATACCGCGGAGAGATGATTCTCCACAAGATGACAAGTACCCCATTATTTGATGTCCCACACTTATTTAAAAATGCGAGAAATAATTTTTTAACGAAGGATGTTGAATTCCAAATTCCAAATGAGGGTAATAGTCGTCTTGCAAAGTAGGAGCATATCCGAATTGCGTATGACCTAGACTGCAAAAGAAATTCAGGTTGCAGGAACATGCGGAAGATCACCCAGCATCACATCGATCTAACGGGCATGATGATGAAGGTGAAATATGCCACGCAGCTGCTTAGCAGAACTGTTGGAACCTTCATTGATTTCGCTGCTGAACAAGGTATATATTTTTGCATTATTACCATTTTTTATTTCATATTACACATATTAAAATAGGTGTGTGATGTCTGCATTGACCATGATAAAATAATCATAATCTATAAATGGTGCAATCATCGATAAAATTGTTCCCATTGCTTTTTATTGTTTCTGATTATACGTTACAAGTGTACAAATAATTGCAATTCTTTGTTATTTCATACGTAATTTCTCTCACAAACGTGTATTTTATTTCTGTACAATTGGAGTAACTGATATTAAATATGTTAGGATGCATGGCCAAGGAGGGAACAAGGATGCCGAAGAGTGCCCAGAACACGGCTAACCTAATAATATTCATGGACAAGTTGCTCGCCTCTGTCAGTGGAAACGTAATGGATCAGAGACTTGAAAAATTACGCTGTCCAGTGAGAGCCAACTCAGGACATGAAAAATATTGGTTACATGCCATTAAATATCTGCGAAAAACGAAATTTATCGTAAATCAATTGGACGGCCAACACGTTTCGACGACTACATAAATCATTACGACTACACAAAGCAAATATTCAAGGATTTATGCAGTTACGGAAACTATTACTTTTTGAGGAAGGTTTAAATTGGTTTTCTCCGCGGTATTTTAATCAAGATGCTTTAGAAAATTTCAATGGTTTAGTTCGCAGTCATGGTTATCGAAACGTAAGCCCATCGTGTTTTCTGTTTATTGCAGTGTTTAAAGCTCTTTTAGTCAGCAATTTGAATTCCTACCATCCTTTGGTAGAGAAATGTCAAGATGACGAGAGTAGTATTGTTACGTCCCACGTAACGTCACCCCTCCAACTACATATATCAATTAA